CTCTGTTTGCTATACTTGGACCTTCTTTGGGACCGACTCCCTCTTTCTCTTGGCTCAACACTGCACAGTAACCTCACTCACACTCGGTATATCCACGTTAAGATTCTTCATCAACCTATCTGCAATGACAAACTCTTCAGGTGTTAAAGGATAAAGAAACAAATGTCGAAAGAGTATATGGTTGCAGTAGCAAATCAACAACATGTGCCATACTTGCTTAGATGAGAGGAACGAGATACCTCTCTGAACAGCCTCAACTCCAACCCACAGATGATTTGTTCTCAGGTTGGATTCCTTTAACACCACTCACCAATCTTTCTACTCCTTCGAAATGGCGAGAACTTCTCTCGTTGTCACGTCCAAGTTATCTCCACTTCGTCTGGCTCAGTTGTAGTTAGGATCTGTAAGAGAAATTGAGAATAAGACTTAGTAATCACAAGTATAGACTATAATCAGTCGCTCACCCGTGGCTCTCCATGTGTACGGTATCTCGCCCTGACCTCTCTCGCCAAATATGGCTTCGCCCTTCAAAAAGAAGAACCACTCATTCCAGTTCTTGTCACTCGACCTTAGGTTGGTCATCAAGTGGATGCGGCTATGCCTTAGAGTTATGGCATATCTACCCTTCTCTCAGTCGCGCTCCTTCAGATAGTAAGAGGACAGCAACTCGTGTAGACCGAACATCACTCGGTTCTGAACATACATCACCTCCAAGGCAAGTAACAATCTTCACCTGTTTGGCATGATTTGTGTCGGTGCAATCATGAAGTGATTCAACACCTAATAGGCGAGTCGAGGTACAAGTAGACATAACCCATGGTGAAACCACAACTCATACACACTCACCCATCCTTTTGCCTCCTAGTCAACCTTTTTGTAACTCTTAGGTATCCTAATCTCCACAGTGCTAGGGATGTGATATTGGGTCCTAATATGCCACTCATCATGCTCCTTGAGTAGAGGCGGATAGTCAGTGCCCAAAATCCCACTACCTGGTCAGCTCGACTCGTCTACCGATTTGTCACTCATTGAAGCATCACTCCCAAAACTATCAGATTCATCGTTCAATTCTTCCCCACTCATCATTTGCCTCTCAAAACTACTATTACCGAATCAGTAGCATCACCCAACTCGGAGACAACCACGTTTAACCCCTTAGGAATTCCCACAAGAATGTTACCTTCTTTCGATAGTACCACCATGATAGCAGCACTTTCATACCCACCTCCCATTTCCATCTCCATATGGCTCTCCTCACTTGACTTGGTATGCGACGACATTGAAGCAGTCCACACTTCAACTTCCCTCACTACACTCGACTCGGTCTGGTGGACAGACCGAATGACCAAGTCAACCTTAACCTCAACTAGCTCCTTAACACACAACCTAGCACTTCACTCGGCTTAGACAAGGACACCGAGACGAGCCGAATAGAGACACTGGGTAACTTAGCTTCTTCTTCTTTCCTCCAAAACCCAGAACACCAATGCTATTCACCTCAAAAAACACTCCCCTTTCAAAATCCATTTCTTTCTCTAGCAAAAACACACCAAATAGATGCCACTTATAACCTAAATCAACCGAAAATTCAAAAAAAAAAAAGCCCCAAAACTGTATTCTAGGAAACCCCAACCTATTCACCACTAAAACACACTAAAAATCCCAAAAATCACTCTAAATTGCCTCTAAAATTCTAAAAACTCGAAGAAGATTTAAAAAAAGTGCAGGAACTACAAAAACTTGAAGAGAAACTAGAGATTTACTGTGAAAAAAGGATTGGAATCGCAAAAGATCAACTCTTCTACAGAAATGATTTTTCTTTCTGGAAATAAGGACGGGAAAATGAATAATCACCCAGATGAAACTTCTTCTTTTTCTACACCTCCAGCCTGTCAGAGGCAACACGCAGCAACATCCAATTGGACGCGACCATTTGAATTCCCGCTCAAAATAAAGACAAAATCCCACTTATACACGTGTCAAGTGATAAGCTCACCTTGCGAGTTGCAATCCATTTCCGGCTCAAGGTCTACAAAATCCTGCTTTACACGTGCCTCATTCTCTTGGGGCCACCAAATCACACTCAGACAAAGCTGACCTCTCCTAGACAAGCTGACTCGAGCTCTAGTCCTTGAAATGGGGAAATCTTCCACTCAAGAGTTCATAAGTAGACAACACTCGCACTCGCTTGATCGGCCAAGTGAAGAAATCCACGAGAGATATCTTGCATCCTCCCACTCGGATTGCTTAACTAAATGAAGATATCTACAAAGGTTGCACTTGGCATCCTATCACTCGGCTCGATCAGCCAAGTGGGCACATTTACGAAGGTTGCACCTGACATCATATCACTAAGCTTGGTCAGCCGAATGGGTACATCTACAAAGGTTGAATCTCGCATCCTACCACTCAACTCGGTTAACCAAGTAGGGACATCTACGGTAAAGGTAAAGATACTTTGCACCATTCCTCAGGACAAAACACCTTTATTCAGTCGAAGGCACGCTCACTTAGCCTAAGATACCATCATCTGGCCTGGTTAACCTTGTTAGACTGACTACTCTCCAAGCGAAATACTCTTTAGCTTAGAGAGTGGGGGGCTAACTGTATGGGCCAAAAATCGTCTTAGGTCTTATCAGGCCCAAGTCAGTATTTTCCACCATGTAGACCCAAGATCATGGTCTAATTCCGGTTGGGCCTACATCACGCACGACCTAAACTCAGCCTCTCTCCAGATTGGGCAATCACTGTTAGCACACCTAGGGCTAGGCCCATTGGTCCAAGATAATTATGACTCTTCCTATTTGGGTTCTATATTCCTAATTCGCCCAAGATTTCGTATTTTCTGTGAATTAGGACTCTTAATCCTACTAAAGCAAGTAAATCAGGATCTTCTCCTATTCACTAAACCTCTACCATTATGGACTCAAAGTCCTCCTAGGATACAAAGATTCTACAACTACTATATAAGCAGGGGTCACACCTCTATTTAAGCATTCAATCTCAATACCACCTATTTACACCCAAGCTCTTACTCCTAAGAGTTATACACCTCTGTCGTGGTTCTAATCTCCAACTAAACTTCCAGTAACCCTTCCTTCCCTTAGCCCTTACTAAATTGTCTCATTCAACTTTACTGACTTGAGCATCGGAGTGCTTGCGACAGATACCACACCAGTGTTTATATAAACTTCACGCTTGTTTACTTTGTGTGCAAGTACAGCAAATTGCCAGTGGCCTCAATTTCATAAGATCAGACTCTTTCCGTAATTGTAGACTTTAGCATCTACATACTTCTTTGTAGAGAGATGTCTTCTTGTGTTGCGATTTCATCAAGTAATTTTGAATGTTTTATCGTATTGTTTGAGGTGGTGAGAGTCCTCATCTTCTCCTCACGATTGATCTGTGGAGCTTTCGCTGGCTTTACTGGCGGTGGAGGTGGCTTTCGCCATTTACTGCACGTAGTTGAAACTAACTAATTACCATATACATTCATTACTAAGTGGTAAGTGAAAATTGTTCTTTATTCGTCTGTGTAGCTTGGCCTCTGCAATTACGTAGAAAATATGATAACTGCTAAGTAATAAACCTATATATATGTTGACTTTGTGAGAATATACATTATAAGCAAAATTTGGCAAGTAATATATATATATAATGCAAGTGGGATCATTTAGTGCTAGCAGCAAAATAATTACTGGTAGGGCTACCAAAAAGATATTACCCAAATTAAACTAATGATAAAGGAGAGAAATTGGAAGATTTATAATCTTTGAAGATATTTCGAGTAATTTCTGGTGATAGAAGAAAAGTTTACATAAAAACTTAAATATGGAAATAATTATTTGAATCAAACAACTCACCATTGGCTGTATTTAAAAATTTTATCATTGATGATGCTTGTCGATTATCTTGAAGATGAATGCGATCGAGCTTGCTGTTATCAGTTGACTTTAAGTCTAATTAGGATTGTACTTATCAATTCATTCCATCTTTAACTTACCAATAAACAAATTCAATTTCATATCCTAACTTTAACTTTCCAATAAACAAATCCAGAAAAGACATTCAAAGGTGCTTTTGGCCATCTTATTGAGAACCAGGAAGGAAAAGAAAATCAACAATATTAATTTGTTCTTTGATTATTTTTCTCTAAATATGAGCGTGGCTAATTGCTTGTAATCAGACAAGAAAGTTGGAATTTGATAAGACTCCCTCTGAAAAAGAGGGCGACAAGAAAAAGGTGCTGCCTCAATTATTGGCATATAGCTAGTCATCACTCAGTTATATTTAATGAATATCTTTATAAGTACAGTACCATATAAAATTTTATCTTTGTTTGTATTAGCTTCAAGACCTAAGTATTGGTGTACTGTGTGCGTAGGATATATAGCAGAGATAACAAAGGAATGACAATACCACTTTTTGATACAAAATATGTGATAATTTTTTTGTTATTAGATTAAGATATTTTGGATAATTGAGATTAAATATAATTTATATAATTAATACACTTTGAAAATGATACGTATACGTATATACGCGCAAAGATTCTCTATTGATAATGTTAGTGAGAGATAAACTTAATTTATTGATAATCAAACAATTAAGTTAGAATTTATCTAATGTAAATCTTTTAATAACTTCTTACATGCATTGAAATTATAATACCTAAAAATATATTAGTAAAAATACGAACATCTACATTTAAGAGATGTCTTCCAGCAAGAAGAATTTACTAAGACTTGTTGGCAAATTCTTATCTTCATAAATTTTGTTTTTAAACAAACAATACTTCGAAGGTTAAAAGATTAATATGTTTTTTTTTTTTTTTTTTTTTTTTTTTTTTACCGTTAAAATTTGGTATATATATATAAAAGAATGAATATTGGAGAAGATTTTATCAAGGAAGATTGTTCTTGAACGTTTAAGTATGTTCAGTCGAAGAACAAATAAGACTACTTAGTTCAAACTGTATTTGATCGAAGTATGAAAGGAGAGAAAGAGGCAACCTCACACATACAAATTTTGTTATTTTCTTGCAATATGTTTACATTTATTCTTCTTAACAAATTAAACACACCAACTACAACACCAAACTCATTGCAAACTATGCTGTAATTAAACAAACACCAAGATGCAGCATGCACGATCACCAAACAATAATTAAACCCCAAACCCTTTGAGATTTCTAACTAGGAGTTTAATATGTAGTAATACAACTTAATATGAAGCCTAATTAGATTTGTTTGCAGAGCCCTGACTTTTGGCTTTGTTGCTTTTCTGATCAAGCTGTTTTGAATCTTTCTTTGAGCTGCTGGGAGAAGTCATCTTCTCTTCACCATTCGTCTGCGGAGGTTTCCCTGGCTTCGGTCGTGGTTTAGATGGTTGAGAACATTTTCTGGCGTGGTAACACAAGAAAAAAAGAAATTATAAGATGATTTTGTACCGATAATTCAACAACTCAACAAACAAGGTTTGGATTGATATTGATGAGCTGATCTAGTTGTCAAGATCCTTACTATCAGTAAAATTCCCTTTGTTTAATCAAAGAAGAATCGTACGTACATGTGTACATGTATGGTACAATATGATACCTTGGCAAACCTAGAAAATATATGTTGACTTTGTGAAGATACAAATGAAAGAATTAAAAGAAAAGATTCCATATAAGCAAAGGGAAAGAAAAACCACATACATGATCCCATTTTTTGAGTGCTGGTATGGCTTAAAAGTTGGAGGTTGGAGCATGGTCTTAGGCATGAAGCCACCTAATAAGAGAGCCATAATGATGAACAAATTTGAGAATTCCTTTCTTTAAGTTCTTCCTGAATGCTCTATAACTTAGCTCTCTCTGTGACTTCAAATTAGAGATATACAGCAAAGATGGATAAGTTTTATATATGCAGAGATTCTCAGTTGATAATGTTATAAGCTAGTGGGATTAGCTTTATGATACTGGTAGGGCTATTAGATGATAAATATGTCGATGACTCTGATATTTTTAATTTCCTATTAATTTTAGTGCAAAAACATCCAAGTTATAAAATTGATATTAGAGTCTCTATTTGTACAGGGTTGGTCCATGGTTTCATACTTCTTTCTTTTCATCTTTTTTACCTTTTTCTTCTTATTGGACATGTTGGCGTGGACATATGAGGTGGGTATATTATTGAACATGCAGTCATTGATGATGTATGTGAGATATTGAATTATTGAGCCACAGTGGTTATCTTGACTATGAGTAATATGTTCACTTATTAAATGTAGTCATCAAATTTATTTGGTTTGATATGAGCTCTTAGGTATATTATTCAAGAGATCTTTAAGTTCAAATCCATCCTCAAATGCTAATAAAGGTAGTTATTGGAGCTCTTACATGGTTTGTAGTTTCAGAGTCTCAAATGATTAATTGAGATGCGTGTAAGTTGGTCTAAATACCACGGTCATCAAAAAAAAAAAAAATTATTTGGTTTTCATTTATCGACAAAGTCATTCTTAATTACCTTTCCAAAAGCAATAAAGACTTTAAGTATTGGATTAATTTAGACAATTTTATCCGAGAGATCTAGATTAAACCAGATGAAATCATAGCCAAAAAGGTAAAGAAAATCGCCAATGTTTGTTCTTTTTTTTTTTCCAAATATGAATTAATGTAGCTAATGTCATCAAAAAATAAAGGTAGAATTTGATGGGGATTCGATCGACTACCACACAGAAAACGAGGGGAAGAAAAAAGAAACAAAAACATTAGTAGCCTCAATTATTGGTATAGCCATGATATTATTACTGTCATTTCAAAGAAACTAAAGTTATAATGATTTTCAAGGGCGAGTTGACATGATGAGCAGTTTAAAATTTCCCAATTAACCAAGTTACTAATAATAACGATAATAATCGCAGCTCAAGTATGCATAAACTATTAAAGATCAAATTTGTATAAATTTCATGAATTGACAATATGTTCTACAGTGGTTCTATAGGCAGGATTGACGCTTGATTCTCAACTGTGAGAGATTATCATCTTTAACATATAAATTATATAGTAAAGTAAAACTGAACCAGGACTTCATAGATTTATAAAAACTGGTTAATTTATTTCTGATCTTACAAAACATGATTTAACTGCTGAGAAAATTAACGTCTAATTTAACTAGCTCCAAACTCTTTTAGATTTGGAGTTAGAAAACTAAACTTGCATACACACGTTTATTAGCTTAGCCACTATTTTAAGCCATAGATTTCTCTGAAGAACCGTCATCACGTTTTGGTTTGCCTTTCTCGTACGTTTCTTCTACAACAGGAGTGTTTGAAATTCCCCTGCTGTGTGTAGTAGTCATCTTCTTCTCCTTACTGTTGGTTTGTCCGGGGGGGCCTTTCTTCACCGGCGGTGGAGGGGGTTTACAACATTTTCTGCCTCAGAAGAACAAAAAAATAAATTAAAAAAAATTATGAGATACGCAAATACAATTTAAATTAAACCAAAGATGAGACGATCAAATAAAAATTTCTGATAAACTAATAAAAAGTTCCATGAAAGTTTTTGACGTACATGATGCCGTTTTTTGGATGTTTTTGTGGCTTGAAAATGGGGAGTTGAAGGTTGGCCTTTGGCATGATGAGGTTAGCTGAGATGACTGAGAGAGCCATGATAAGAGGAAACGGAGAAGACCTGCAAAGGTAGCTGTGAGTTCAAAGTGATAAATGCTAAGGTTGGATTTTATATTGGCAAAAATTCACTGCTAGCTGATGCTCATATTACTGCAAGTGGAATCTATTTTATCATTTTATGCCTGTTTTTAGGGCTATAAAATGCGAAAGGGGCCACCGCACTGGTGGTCAGTGGTCCATTCATAAATAAAAACTTATTATTATTATTATAAATATCCGACTGCTACGCTACGATGCCAAAGCTGCAGAGATACCCAGTTAGTTATTTTATTATTATTGTTATTATCTCTTTTCCACTTTGAAAGTTCTTGACTACTTGACACTTGACAGCAAAGATAAATTATATTTGAATAAATGAGAAACAAAAATATATATAGAATAAGACGATCGGGAACTAAGACCTAAAATATACTACCCTGTACTATAATTTAGGCTTCTAGAGGATTGTTGTATAAACTTATTATTTACTCTAATCCCTGTACTACCTACTGATTCGATTGAGACAAGGATTTTCTTCATTCTTAAAACGATTAAAAATAACTAAGCTCTTCTTTTTATGTTCTTCCTTTTTCCTCTTATTGGATATGCTCACATGAATTGTTCTATATTATATTGAATTATTCAGTCATTTGGGATTAATTATCGTAAACAGTGCTAATAAGTGCGAGTAATTAGTTGACTTGAGTCAAAGTCGGCTTGCCCTTATCAAGTCTTCCCCTCTTTTACCAACTTCCCAATTTAAAGAATATGAAGACCTTGAAGTTTGAACCAAGTCAGAATTGATAGACAAAAAGCAAAAGGACAGCACTGATAATTTTTTTTTTATTTTTTTTTTCTCTTTTTCCCAAATACATATATCGTCCATATTGGATTAAAATCAAACAATAAAGCAAGGACTGGATGGGACTGCCTCGGGTACGTATAAAAAGAAAATAGTAGCAATCCTCAATTATTAAGATTCATTCATAAAGCTTAATTATGGATGATACTTATATGACATATTTGATATTTTGGAAATAGTTATGGAAATGTGGAAACATTAATCCATATGTAATGTATGTCATGCATAAACATGAAATATAGAATTAGTAATAAAGCATAGTATTACTATTCAATGTTGGATAGACGTAAATTGGGGTTTTGATATATATATATAAAAGATAATACTTATATATATAGTTTTTTTATATAAACCACTCAGGCAAACTAATGTGTTTTAAGATAATTGGATAATTTTAAACTAAAAATAAATTAAATAATTAAGGATGATTTTAAATTAAATAATTAAAAGAGATTACACAACAAACATAAAGAATTGTCAGTTTAGAATGAATAATTTATATAAAGACTAGTTTATATAGATAGTTTCTATATGCAGCATTACTTTATATATAAGTGTAAACATAATTTTTTGATATTGAATGTGGAATTGATATGTTACGCACTAATCGTATGTAGCCAGCTTCTTTCCATCTAAATTGGATCTTAGATAATGATCTAGAGTTGAGAAAGGGTAATGTTACTTCTCAAAGTATTCATAAATTATAAAAACATAAAAGATCCCTTCTTTTTTCATATAATAAAATCTTTCAAAAACAATTTTACATCGAACAAATTCTCTATCTTCATTAAGCATATTAAGAGCTGTAATATATATACTCCGTCACTTGTACATCAAGTTGCAAGCTAAAGAATATTACATCGATTCTCAACGGCTGGTGCCATGTAGCAAAAGTACTGGCTTAAAGAGAATCAGAAGTAAATTTTTAATGTACTATAATTGGAATTGGATTTTGTTTTGTAGCTCTAAGTGGCGATCATGCAGGGGGGGATACAGGTCAACGAGAATGAAAATGGACATTTGCACGAATAAGAGAGAGGTCTCATGTGGGAATTAAGAATACTTGCCAAAAGTGGATCAGAATCGCTTCTGAAATCCATCATCAGATATCAACTATTATAATTAAAGTGGAACTCAACATGCATTACAATAAAGAAAAAGAGTTGAATAAGCATTTCAGGTATAAAACAATTACCTAGAAGTTGACGGAATTAATCAAAAAGAGGGATCTTGTAAAAGCTTGTTATTACTGCAATGTAATCTTTTATCATTTTTCACTTGGTATATTTGCAGAGATAACTACAATATAAATAAATAAATAAAATTATTTTCCAAAAAATTTAAAATTAATGATAATTAAAAAACGAGAGTTAACATTATGCCAAGAAACTATATAATCTTATATGCTAAAAGATGAATTAAGAGTCAGATAATAATTACAAAGAGTTAATAAGCAGATAATTAACTTGATAATTTTAATCAAACGTTTATCTAATCTTATTTTAATTGCTCTATATAATCTCACAAACACCATTGTCAAATTTCACCCTACTCAAGCTAATCAAGTTTTTCAGTATTCGTATTCAAATTCAAGCTAATATCTTTGGTAGTAAAACCTGACATCTTGTTGGTTAGTCTTGAATTGATTATTTTACTTGGAATAGATAAAAAAAAAAATGTTATAATTATACAATCAACAAAAGTTCGTTCATGTTTATCTTTTACTCGTATTTTTTTTTTTTTTTATGATTTATATAAATCTTAGTAGTTAACTATCAAAATTAGTATTTCTCCATTAATATTTTTATAAACATAACTTATTAATGTTTACTAAACTTTAATAGGATATTTTTCGTTCTCTTAAGATATAAAGCATAATGGAATGCCTTGAGCAAAGTGGTTAATTAATGTATTTAATTTTCTATACCTAAAAAAAGATATAAAGCATAAGCTTAGATAAGCAACACTGTGGTCCTAATGCATTGGAGAACTTTTGTCTCTCACAAGCTATTGTATTCAACATGGTATCAAGACTCAATTAAATTGAACAAAAATATTTTTTTGCCAAAAGCACTGTATATAGTTATATGAAGAAGTGCTTCTGAAATCCATAATCAGAAGTATTTTAATTAAGGTGGAACCAAACAAATGCATGCATTACAATAACGAATAAGAGTTGAAGCATTTCGGGTATAAAAGCAATAACCTTATGAGGCTACTAGAAGAGTAGAAGTTGAAGGAATAAAAAAGCTGAGGCATCTTGTAAAGTTTTAATTCACTCGGCACATATACATGCAGTGAACAAATGCCTTCCTTTCTTATTTTAGATTTAGATGCCGGAGCAGAAAATTAGTCGATTTTTTTTATGGTGGTGAAAGCATATGTTATCAACAATGCGGTATAGCAATTAGCAAGTAAGGCATGAGAGAATTTCGTAATTAGAATAGATTATTTACTTAAAAGGTACTTAAAACACTCTCTAATACCGGAGTTTTCCTCACCACCAGAATAAAGCTCTCTCCCAACGCATATGCATAACGCTAATATTTTAACCACCACTAAATAACATGATAATAAAATAATAAAAGGAGGTTTTATGAATTTATGAGTTCGAGTCACTTCAATCACTAATAGAGATAGTTATTTACGTTCTTACATAGCTGACAGTTTCAGAATCCTAAAAAATTAGTTGAAATACGTACAAGCTAACCTGAATAACCTCAATGATTAAAAAAGAAAAAAAAATGTCTTAAATAAATTGTTTAACTTTGGTCTCCCTCATCCATTAAACATTACACTTTAACTCTTTAAACATAATTTTCCGGTTCCGTCACTTACACTTTGACTCCCGAAACATAATTTTCTGGTTCCGTCACTTACACTTTGACTCCCTGAACATAATTTTACGGTTTCACCACTTACAGTGGAGGCCACCCCAAGCCTTATAAATTTTTTAAAATTTCATGTATGAAATAATAATTTTATCCTTTAATAGCTATTTATTATCTGTCGGGCCCATTACTTGTTCAGTTATAAATTTATCCCCCTTTAAATGCAATTTCTTATATAAATTTTTTTTACTTTGATCTCCCACAATATTAAGCCAGTTTGACCACTGCCCATATAATTCCGAGATTTTGCATCTTTTTCCTGTTGATGAACTCTCTTAAATGCATATATAATGAAAATTAATTGTTAATTAGCTAGTGTCAGTTCTGATGCAATGAGAAGAGATAGATAGCACTTCCTAAAGCTTCTGTTAAAGAATTACATGAAATTAACTAGTGACAACGAAGGAAGAACTATTCTTGCATCAAAGGTGGATAGTTTATAAAAGTTAATGGAGAACAGAACAAGAGAAGCCAGTAATAAATTTATTATATGCATGGCTGAGAACAATTGGGATTTGGGAATCTACCTGATTTGCTGTAAATAAAGGGATTCGGGTTCCCCTTATCTACCCAAATTCTTTTATATATGGATATGAAAATTATATATATATATATATATATAGAAAGTCTGCTCTAATTATAGACATCTCTTTGGCTTAATTAGGAAAAAGCCCTCTTGAAATTTAAAAACCATTCTCTCTCTTGAATTTTCATAATGTATATAAATATATTCAGAATAAAATAATAGGCTTGTAATCAGGTCAAACTTCTAGAGATGTAGATTAATTAAAGATTTAATTTACTATATACATATATCTGGATCGAAATGACCTTGGTGATAGAACTATAGTTTCATCCTCTTTTTTATGTCAACTATTCTCTCATTGTTGGACAAAGATACAAAATTTCCGCAACATATATTTAGCATACGGGAACAAGAATTTTTTAAGGTGTAAAAGAATTGAAAAGGAGAGTATGGAAGAACTGATTCCTTTGTTTTTCATAGAGTATGGTATAACTGTAGTACTGTACATCTATATATAAAAGAGCATTTACAACGGATGCCTACATTTATATGAATAATTAAAATTAAAAGATTACAGCTATACAATCTTATAACATAAACGTAGGATCGAATCTTCCTCATTTGTTAGGCTCCTGATTTGTTGTTGAGAGTTCACCAAACCTGCTGCTGTGATTTTGGTTATTACCGTTGCTGCATATCTCAATATTCTGATCTTCAATATCTTCAGCCTTTAATTCCGTTACATTGACTTGATTCTCTACAAGGTATAAACTAACTACAATAAAACCTCTCTATAGTGATATTCTATATAGGAATAACCTTCATATAATCATAAAAAAATATGATCTTAACTTGGGTCAGTTATAAATAAGAATAAATTTTATATTGTAATAAGTTATAATTTTTCTAAGTCCCGTATTAAGGAACTTGCCCCTCCGCATATATATATATATATATTACAAAAATATATATTATATATATATTACAAAAATGATTTGTACTATAGAGTTGTTACCATATCTTTTATCTTGCGGGTTTATAATAAGTCGCCAACATTGACATCTTTTTATTGAAACCAAAATATTTCTAGTTTCTCAAGTATGTTTAGAACTTCTTGACACGAAACTTTTTATATTTTCATATTATCATCCTCAGGATTATCTCCTTCCTCTTCTTGTCTAATTCTAGTAATATTTTTTCTTTAGTTAAAGCATACATAATTTGTTACTCATTTGGATGATTGAGAAACACATTAATATCTATTTGATTAGTGTAGTGAAGTCATCGTGATTACTCAATTCTGCAATAACTCTTTGATATCCATTTTTGTACTATCCTAATGCTATTAAAACAATGAATTGAAATCCTAATGCTATTAAAATATGAATGGAAATCCTAATACTATTAAAACATGAATTAAAAAATTAAATAAAAAAATAATTATTATAACTACACCTCTATTAAATTATAATCTCCTCATAGTAATAAATTTAGTTAATCCCAACATTATAACTATAGAGAGATTATACAGCTATAATATAATTGTTTAATTATTTTGTATTTCATCTTAAACATACACTTTAGAAGAGAGTTCTAGGTGCAGATGTGATGTTGATCAAGACTTGTGAATTTGTTCTTTGTTTTTGGGGCACCTTTGATGAGGAACCAGATGCAGATCTTGATAAGATTAATACTAGATCTTTTATTATTATTTCTCAACTTTATTACATAAACATCACTATTAATTCTCTTACAACATATATAATAGTTACTCATATGAAGCCTTAGATTTGTTAGCAGAAGCTGCTTGTTGGCTTTCTTGTTTGAGTTCTTTCTCAGTATCATAATTCTTTGAGCTCTTGGGATCAGCACTCATCGTCTCCTCATGACCACCATGGTTGGTCTGCGGAGGATCTCCCTTCCTCACCGGCGGTGGAGCAGGTTTACAAAATCTTCTGTCACCATCCAAACTTAAATCATCAGTTAGCAAACACGGATAAATATTAAACCAATATATATAAATATATAGTGCGGATGTTCTGAAATTTTTTTACGTGCAAACTAAAGGTAAACGTTCAAAAATCAATTTTCAAGACGTTCATACTTCTATTTCATACTAAATCTTTGGAAAAAATTTCAGACGTCCGCACCTTAATTTTCCTGTATATATGTGCCTCCATAGACTGAATGCGTGAAAATAAATATAGAAAGAACGAAAATAATGTGTTCCATGAAAGGAGGGGCAAACTTACATGATCCGAATTAAATTTGGGTTGAAAGTGGGGAGTTGGAGGATGGACGTCGTCCTTGACCTTGGCATGAGGAAGAATAACCTACTGAAGAAAGCCATGAGGAGAATGCAGAGATCATCAGATGGATAGCAGTGAGTTCTAGCTTTATATCTATCTATTTATTTATTTATATATATGGGATTTGGAAACAGGCTCTTGAGATGTCAGAGGATGTATAAGCAACTTGAATATGAAGCTTAATTAGTATAATAAATTAGATGCGTTGAAGGCATAAAAGACTGTTACAGATGGATAAGAAATATATATAAAATTGTATAAACTATTAAGAATGATGATGTTGATAATGTCTGTGAATTTGTTCTGATGGGAGATGGTTTTGGTACCCAATGCAAATTTTATATATATAATCACAAATTAACAATCTCGTTAGTTTCTAACTTGTGTCATAGTTTAGTTAAGTTAATTGATTCCATAGTCAAGGAGCTAATTTGACTTCTAAAGTTAACTAGACAGAATTCACAGAAAATTGTACTTGTGTTTCAGCACGGAATTTTGGATGGAAAAGTTTAGAAAATTATTAGTTATATTTACTAATTTTTATTTTTTTTTAATTATCGGAGGTGTTTAAACGTACTTATACATACTTTAACTAATTTTTCAAGACCTTAAAACTGTTGAGTGAGAGCCCTAATAATTATTCTAGTGTCTAAACAACATAAATTGAGAAATTGATGGAATCCCCTTTTGCTTTTTCATCGTCTAAGTCGCCGTGGATGGTTTATAACACAATTTGGCACTATCCTTATTGTCTCCTCCTTTGTCATGTCAGCTGCTCTTGGGCTTGATTTGAGTGCGTTTTACATAAGATTAACCAATTCTTTACTTTGTTAACCCCGATAAAATCCTAATTAAACCAAGCCCATTTCACAGTTCAATCTTAATTTTAAATCCTCTTTTTTTTTTTTTAAATAACAATAAAGGGTTTTAAGATGCTAGGATAATTAATTTTTTATGAAATTTATAATTTTTTTTTTTTTTGTCTTGTTAATCATTGTATTATAAGGTTTTTTTTTTTTTTTTTTTGAAGTTTTAAGCATAACAATATTTGCCACTGGTTTTCTTCCACATACGCAGGCCCAAAATGATTTGGGTTATGTTTGGACTTTGGAACTACTCTTAACCGGATCTTTTTGACCCGTAAGAAAGTAGTTTTCTTGAAAGTTGAACATATGAATGGGTATGATGAGTTGTCACAAAAGCACTTTTGGAGAAGGCCGTTACATATACATACGAAAGCTGATGGCTTTCCAAAATCACTTTTGCAAGAAGCTGCGCGGCCACTTAAAAAAGATTTCCATCATTGGCGTCTTTCTTCTATTGTATGCTTAAGTTTCATAAACATGAATCATGATGCCTCTCCTCTCCAAGTGCTTTTCAATAGCGCTTCAAAATACCAAACAAAGTATAAAATACAAAAAAGTCTACCATACATTTGATTCGTTCAACAAGGGAGTGCATACACGCAATGCATGTTAATTTGGCAATATACATAAACTATAAATCTTTTTAAAAAAATACTATTTTAAATGCTCTTCTAATTTGAGAATTAATATTATTTTTATTTACAAATATATATTTTTTAAATTAAACAAACGGCAAGTGCTTGAGCCGTTGAAACGATTTGAGCAATTAATAGTTGGGCTCAAATTTTTGGGCCTTATACCTTTGCCCAAATATATAGCCGTTTTAAAACTATCTTAGTTTTAACTTATAGCCGTTTGGTTTTCTCTTTTTTTTTTTTTTTTTTTTAAATTAATTAATTTCAGTTGTATGTGTCACGCTTCAAGGTAGCGCGTCAGAAAAGGATCCAGGTGAAGGAGGGCCCACCTAGGCACGCTAGGGGAGCATGGTCACGTGAAAGGGGCGAGTCCGCATGATCGTGTGGTGGTCGCGCACACATCGCGACACAAACATAGGGGCGACTAGAGCTTCCACACGTGCGCCGAACTTGACAAAACGAGTGAAATTACCTTCAAAGGCTTAAGCTGTTTTCCCTCTCTCTCATTGGATGGTCATGGACAGAGACGGTTACTGAACCGAGAGCCAGGACAGCAGCCACGTGGCATGCAAACGTCACGGTCGGTCAGAGACACAGAAAAAGCACAGAAAGAGAGAGACGAGCGGTTACGGGATCAAGCAAGCAAGGTCAGAGTGTTTGACTCCGTAATATTTAACGTGTTCGTCTGTCTTGTTTACTATAGACTATAGTAACTAGAATTCCCCAAATTGCCCTTTCTTTATTTCTGTTGAAATGTTGTTTTCTCAAGTTTGTTGCTTCATATAAAAAAACAAACAAATAAAATATTATAATAATGACAGTTACATTCTTATCCAATTTGTCATGTAGTTGAACATAATAGCAAAAGGAAAAATTCTCCTAAAAAATATCTCATTTTTCCTGTTCAAAAAACTTTATAAAATTTATTAAAAAATTAAAAGAAATTTTTGTTGATACAATTTATAAACGTCAAAGGCAGTGGCAAAGTTGGAAATCAATGACGAATAGGGGGCAATTATTACAACTGCCCACATTTTAGGTGACCATCTCCGAAATCCCTCCCATTTGCACTTGCAAACTCATGCTTCTGCTTTTCTTTCTCGACTCAAAATCAAAACCGTTTATGATAACCTCGGCCGGTTCAACGTCAACCGGTTCTCTCATCTCCATTTACACGGATCTGATCAGATAAACAACTCCACTCTAAATCCACAATTCATTCTTTCATTATTCTTTCGTCATTCATTTCCGTTTTTCATTTCTTCATTTCGCCTAAAACGCAGTCGTTGTAGCTAGATTTCATCAGCTCAGAACTACCAGACCTGTGCATTGATCTTCAATTTGTTTCGATTTGTTCGTTTTCTGAGCTCATTTTAGCTGAATTCTTCTCTTCCACGATTCGGTGGTGTTTGTGAAATTGATGAAGTAGACAGAAGCTGAATTGAAGGCATTTTGAGGAAGATGACGTCGGGGACGAGATTGCCGACATGGAAGGAGAGAGAGAACAACAAGAGAAGAGAGAGGAGAAGGAGAGCTATTGCGGCGAAGATATTCGCCGGTCTCAGGATGTACGGTAACTACAAGCTCCCGAAGCACTGCGACAACAACGAAGTCCTGAAAGCTCTCTGTAACGAGGCCGGTTGGACCGTCGAACCCGACGGCACCACCTACCGTAAGGTAACCGTAATCAATCACTTCAATCCTCTCCGTTTCATAATTTTATTTTGCTTCATTTTTGTTTGTTTGTTTATAAGTTCTTGTTTACGGGAACAAAATACACGTAAATAAATTAAATATATAAATTGAATTTGTATACTAAGATGCGCCGGCACCGATCCCGACTGTGGGTGGATACTGTTTGTAACAGTAACTAGTGGGGCAGTAGCGCCGGCGCATGTTAGCGGTAAGCGTTATTTATTACCGGCGTTAGTTAGATCTGCTGTTCTGTTGGTTGGGGGCGTAAGTTAGATCTGGTCAACAGTCAGCGGCTCTCTTTTGTTGGACGCGTGAAAGCAGAAAAGATTCTCTTTTTTCTTTTTTCTATCTCAGAGTAGTCTGTCTGAGTGAGTGAGAGAGGACATGCAAATGTGAGGGCATAGATCTAGAGAAGACAGAAATGCCCTTATCAAAAAGCTCAAATTACCTTCCTCAAAAGTCCATATGGTCAGGCAAATTTTTCTCTTTTCTTTATCAATGAATTCGTCTTTAATGAAACACAAACAGTTCGCTTTTCAGTTCTGCTCGGTTTTCTGTTTCGGGGAACTGTTTTGGTGTATATAATTTTCTTCTTTTGTGGGATTGCAGTTCAATTATTGGGGTTTTATAATTAATGTATTAACAATGGCTATTGGTCACGTGGCACAGCTCCGGCTTCATGAGTGGTTGCTGCTGGAGAAAATTAATTGAAGTGTGTTTTAAAACATTCTTTCAATTTTATACTTGAAAAAAGACTTACTGGCATTTTTCTATCTCATTCCGAAATTTTAATTTAAACTTGAGAAAGCTGCATGATTGAGGGCTTGGATTAGTAGTCATTGACGTGTGAAAATTAGAGAACATTTCAGTTTAAAGGGTTATGTTAAACTCCCTCTCAGTGTTTCCGTAGATAACTCTGATTCCCATTTCAGACATATATAATCCTAATTATTATGGAAATATTCAGCAAATTCCTCTAGTTATTTTAGGATTAATAGTTAATTTCTTAGGATAGATTTTTAATTAAATTACTAGAAAACGTAAAAAGAAAAAATTGTATATGTGGTCATCTGTTCTTAGTGGTCAAGAATGTCAGGAGTCCATGGCCATTCCTGTTATGAATATGGATGTAATGCAGAATGGCGATCGGGGTCAGTTTATTATAAAGTAAACCAGTCTTTAGGCCGATGGTTCTCTGGAATCTTTTGTGCTTGGTTGCCGATACACTTGTGTTGCAGTTCATGGTCACAATCCTACAGGCTACAAGGATTTCATAGGACTGTAAAAAACCATGATGCCTTCGGAAACTAGGACAATAATTAAACCACGAACCCCTGCAGATTCTGTCATAATGAGGACCATTCAATATTTTGGCAGCGAAGGAAGTAAGAAACTACAGCTGGGGCTGTTATTAAGTTAAATTCTGCAAGAGAGCTTTCTGACTTCCCTAGTGCAGTGCAATTACCACTTGCCTTCCTTCCTAGGCAGTTGCTTTGCTTCCTGTGTTATCTTGACATTCTGCATTAGAGCTCTTACATTATTGTTGTAGGAGGGTTAGTTAAGAACTAAAAGGCAGTTTACTTTTGCCCAGTAATGCCATATGTCTTTTGTAGTAGGCAATCAATGCCCATGTAAAGTTGGAAAAATGGAGGTACTCTTAACTGCGATCAATTTCGATTCTCATTGACCGTGATTTTAGGCTATGTTATAACCTTGTTCTAAGTCAGTTCAATTCCTAATTCATCCTTGAGAATCCTTTGATGCTCTGTCTCAGTTACTTGCGACTAATTGTCATTTAATTTCTGCAGGGATGCAAGCCTCTGGAGCGCATGGATATAGTGGGTGGATCTGCTGCTGCAAGTCCATGCTCATCTTACCACCCAAGTCCTTGTGCTTCCTACAACCCAAGCCCTGGATCCTCTTCTTTTCCAAGCCCAGCTTCTTCTTCCTATGCTAATCCTAATGGTGATGGGAGTTCCCTCATTCCATGGCTCAAAAACCTCTCATCTGCATCCTCGTCGGCTTCCTCTTCCAAGTTTCCCCATCTATTTATTCATAGTGGCTCTATCAGTGCTCCCGTTACCCCACCATTGAGCTCTCCAACAGCCCGAACCCCTCGAATCAAAACCGACTGGGAGGACCAATCTACCCGCCCTGGCTGGAGTGGGCAGAACTACACTTTCTTGCCTTCTTCAACTCCTCCAAGCCCTGGCCGCCAGATTGTTCCTGATCCAGAGTGGTTTGCTGGGATTCGCCTTCCACAACCTGGGCCAACCTCTCCTACATTCAGCCTTGTTGCCTCAAACCCATTTGGCTTCAAGGAAGAAGCTATAGCTGGTGGTGGCTCCCGCATGTGGACTCCTGGGCAAAGTGGGACATGCTCTCCTGCCATTGCAGCTGGCTCTGATCATACTGCTGATGTTCCAATGTCTGAAGTAGTAACTGATGAGTTTGCATTTGGAAGCAATGCAATGGGGCTAGTGAAGGCTTGGGAAGGAGAGAGGATTCATGAAGAATGTGGATCAGATGATTTAGAGCTCACTCTTGGGAGCTCAAGGACCAGGTGAGCTGGAATCAATGTTTGATGAGGTATATCAATTTCAACTGTTTCTTTACTTCAACCACCCTTGCTGTGCTGCAGATAAAGAACTACACAAGGGTAACTGACTTTTATTATATGGACCTTGAATCCATTCTGGTACTTCTATAGAATCCTATAACTAAGGGGATCAAGGTGAGCTTGAGCAAACACTATCATGTTTTATATTCTTTTCATTTTTATGTTAATTTGTATTTTTTTTTTTTTTTAAATTATTACTAGCTAGTTGTCCAAGGCTTGACCGTCTGGGGGTGGTGGTTTCACAACCCTTTCATTTGGTCATGCCCTTAAAAGCTAAAATTTATTGATATACTTGTATGAAGTAGCCATCCTTAAATTTGGGTTTGCCATTGAATTAATCTTGATGAGGCTACAGATTGGGATTGTAACTCAAGGGCTGAATCATATGTGAAAATTTTGGATAGAGTGGACTTTTACCATTGCCTTTTTGTACATTCATTGACATTATCATGTGTTACATTTGTTATCCAACCCAATCCGATCCAATCTACTTCATGTTTTGGCTTTTATTACCTGCTCTAATGAGTGATTGATATTTGTTGTCTGCTATATAGCTAATAGAAATTTTATAGAATTGAAAGAAGCACTTTGTTGACAAAGACAAAAGAATGTGGACCAAACCACTACTGCCTTTGCTTCTGAAATTCTAGAAATTAGAATTGGCTACAGTCTTATGTCTCTTTTGAACGCCCCTTTCTTTTACCATCTTTTGACCAAAGCCACAGAGAGTCTTTTATATTTTAATCATGGTGTGCTTTTTATTTGTCTGGTCAAGGTTTCACCATGATCATGATCATGACATGTGATTGCTAACAAATCAATCAGAAATTGGGTCCCATCTGTCCTTTCCATATAATAGTTTCGGAACCTGGTCATAGAATGTTAATCCATTATCAATCATAGTTGTTCCACCATCAATTTCAAGCCCCTGTAGCGATTTGGAATTTACTGTTGATGCCAATTGGTTTGGTCGAATTGATTATGAAACCTTGGGTCAGTCTTGATGTTACTGTTTTCTGTTTCGAAATGTGAGTGATGGAACCTACAAATTATTAGCAGCATGAAAATTTCTGTGGCCCTTGTTTGTGCTTCGTCTTGAAGCTTCAACCGCCGAAATGGTGGGTTTATAAAAAATATGAATTATAACATACAACAATAAATCTGTAGTGTTTTAAAATTACAAGTTTCATGTTAGGTTGAGTCAAATTCTTATTTCATATTTTTAAACATGCAACACAATTTAGAGATATATTCATTAAATGGGGCTCTTAGGAATCGGTACCACTACTATTTCTATTTTATTATGCCTAGCTTGAATTAGGACGACCCATAAAATCCAATTATTTATGTAATCATGTACCAAGTTAAAGTAGACAAAAACATTTACATATCATCTGGGTGACACCAAAAATGTCTAATTTCATTGAGCAATGTAGCTAAAATTGGACTTTTCAATGTATTATCTCACATTTCTCATATATTTTATCTTAAACCAATGTTTTAAAACCCAACCCGGGGTGAAACACGACAAAGTTATTGGGTCCGGGGTTGACCGGTTTGATAAGAACTTCTAAAATTTAGCAAATACACTCTTAAAAATTCGTTAAGTCCTATAGGTTTGAAATTTGACAAACACACCCTAAATACAAATCAGCCAGCAACTATTTGGCGATGGCAACACTCCAGATGCAACTAGGGATGGGCACAAAGCCCAGCCCCGCGAGGACCCGCTCGAACCTGGCCTGAACTGGGCAGATTTTCCCAGAATCGTTCTGGCTTTGGGCCGGGATCAAGCCTAAGATTAGCCCAGAGAATTTGGGGACCGGTATATATATATTTTTAATATTTGAAAATCAATCATATATACCTATAATAATTTTAATATTTGAAAATCAATTATACATTATACAATGACAAATTATAATTGTGTAAATATTTTATGAAACTATATACAAACAGGTAATAAATAAAACTAGATTAAATATAATAAATCATTATAAATATTTGTAATATATATATGTTAATGCTATAAAACAAAAGTTATACATTCGACATTATATATTATACATAATATGCTATTATTTATAATCTTACGTTAATACATAATATATATGTAATATATTATATAGTATATACCATATATAAGATACAGGTCGGGATAGGTCTTGCCCCGCCTGATCCGTATATTATATATATATTTTAATATTTGAAAATCAATCATATATACTTATAATAATTTTAATATTTGAAAATCAATTATACATTATACAATGACAAATTATAATTGTGTATATATTTTATGAAACTATATACAAACAGGTAATAAATAAAACTATATTAAATATAATAAATCATTATAAATACTTTTATATATATGTGTGTGTGTGTGTGTTAATGTTATAAAACAAAAGTTATACATTCGACATTATATATTATACATTATATATGGTATATATATTTGACATTATACATTGTACATTGTCTATTATATATGGTATATTATATAAGTGTGTGTATATAACATATATGTGTTATACATTATAATTTATACAAAATATGCTATTATCTATAATTTTACGTTAATATATAATATATATGTAATATATTATTTGTTTTTTTGATTGATTATAATGAATCAATAAATCATTATAATTTTTTTTTTTTTTTTTGGTCCCTCGTTGAATCATTATTTCAATTTTATTACCTAATTGTCTTTGTTATATTGTGATAGCTATTTATTTCGAATTTATTATAATATATATGGTAGTTATTTATTTGAAATTTATTATAATATATATGTATAATGTACCATATATAATACATTATATATTAAAGAGACATTATATATATTAATACTTATTACTTAATACATTAATACTTAATATATATATATATAATGTATTATAATTATCATTTTGATATTTAGATTAATTATAATCATTAATCAGGAGCAGATCTAATACTTGTTGAGGGTAGGCATTTTAACAAAAAAATACCAATATGTATAATTGTGGGGTGGGTCTTTTTGGCAACTCATGTTTTAAATCTTGATACTATCATGTGTTGAATCTTTTGATTATAAATCTGTCATATATTGTAATATATTATCAATTTAGTATGATGGTTTTTATATTTAATATGTACATTATAAATTTAATTTCTTTTTTGATAAAGGTTTTTATGTTTAATATGTATATTATATATTTAATTTTTTTTTTTTTTGTTGGTATATATAATTTGGAGAAAAGGATAATAAAACTAATAAGGATACAAAAAGACAGAAAACCCCCCAAATGGATTATATATTTAATTTTTTTTTTTTTGGATATATAATTTGGAGAAAAAGATAATAAAATTAATAAGGATACAAAAAGACAGAAAACCCCCAAACGGGAAATTCGGGGAATCCCTGAATCCCCCGTTTGGGAACGAGCTTTTTTCGGGGATTCCCCGAATGGGCTTCGAGCCAAGATCGGGGAATCCCCTTGAGCTTTCAGGCTGGGGTCAGAGATAGGGGTCCTCGACCCCGCCCCAGCCCGTGCCCATCCCTAGATGCAACCTCAATCATCCCTTAAGCTCATTCCCCTTAAAATATACCCAAGATCTGGCCGAAATAGGTTTAATTTCGGCCAGATCTCACCAATGTCGGCATTGGCATTCCAGGCCAGATCTCATTGACACTGGCATCAACAACCCTCTCCATCACCCATAAATTACTCCCCTCTTCCTCCTGACCAAAACCCACCTCACCCCACCCTCGTTAGCCTCGTTAATTGCCTCTGCCAGTTTTGTTCGATTTTCGGTTGATTTACTCACTTTAAATCAACTCCGTCACCACCATTGCATTCATCGACACTTTCTCTTCAAAAGCCCCAACATCCCGACCGTCAATTGTTCGTCGATCATCCTCCCAAATCCTAGGATTTCGGGTGAATAGAAAAAATATAACCCGACCCGTTAAAGCTTCTGGGTCCCAATTGAACCAGTTAAATCGATCAAACAGGGTCAGACCGGGTTTTAAAACATTGTCTTAAACAACTAAGGTTTCAACTAACTGATCAAATCAAATATAAGCTCACTCGATCTTAACATATCTTTAAATTTTATTTTATTTTGTCATAACTTATTAATTATACAACAACTCAAACATAGACGGGGCAGTAATAGTCAACAATTATTAAAAAGAAAAAAGAAAAAGATTTCCGTCGTACATGAATACTTGTAAAAAATAAATAAATAAATAAACCCACAAAAATCAAAGAGAAAATCCAAATCCCAGTCGAAACGTTATGAACCTGAATAGTGAATTACGAAGTAATTAGCCACATATAACATGAAACTCCTATGTATACTTAGTGCACACGTGCATAAATATGTGTGGTGGAGAGAACTCTATGATTTAATATAAATTATGTACTTCATCAATTAATTTTTGAGTAACTTGACAGTAAAAATACATGAATGCTCCACTGTTTTAACCACAGAAAATAATAGTTACTGGAGAATGCACACTGAATGACACGATGTCATCCTGACCATCTATTAATTATGAATTAATATTAATCTATATGCATAAATTTGGTGCGCATTATTCGGTAACGGTAGCATTACTCTTTAACCACATTGTTCTATATGAAATTTAATTTCTCTGCATTTTTTCTAAGCTAAACAACCAATGGGAAACCAATTGCTTGATTGCAAAATGTAGAACAAGAATATAGCAGATATAATAACAACAGGGGAACAAGGAGGATATAATTTACACGTGCATCCAAGCCATCTCCACGGCAAGTATCTTGCAAGAAAACAGAGTGACAATTTTTTTAGCTCAATATGTACCGATCAGAGCCACGCTTATCAAATAAATCCGAGAGAGCAGCATACAGAATGCCAGCAGCAGGAGGCCTAGGCATCGATCCGAGAAGAATATCTGCGGCACTAATAGATGGTTGACCATAGAATCTAGAATTTTCTTGTGCTCGGGTAGCAACAATACTTCCTTCAAGTGAGCAACCAACAAATGCACCTGCAAGGTTAATCAAAAAAATCGACTCACCAATATTGACTCATCTAAGTAGTAATATGTTCATAGGGGAAGATTTTTTTTACCTTTACTGCAGCTGTATGTGTAGCAAGCAGCATAACCTCCCACACCAGCATGAAGATCAGCTTCAGCAGCCCGTCCAACAATGCCAGCAGCAGCACTCAAACCTGCTCCAAGTGAAAAATGTACATTTCCACTAAAAGTTTTGATGGCACTTTTAGTTCTCAATACAATTATGAAATCTGTGAATTCACCTCCAGCCTGTTTGATATTGAATAGAATATATGAGTTTCAAAATGCAAGTCATAGATATATTAAAAAAATCACGAGCTGCTGATAATCTTTCTGATTAAGCATATTACATCTAGTTTCAGAAAGTTAGAAGTATATCCAATTTCAAGCCACACTTTTCAGTTTCAAAAGTTAGCATTTTGACAATGATGTAATGCAAGCATCCAATGCATAGGAAAACAATAATATCATTCATGATCTAACAGTGGAGAAAAAACCAGACAGATTAAAAAAAAAAAAAAAAAAAAAAAAAGTAGTATTTCCAATTTCAAGCATGCAAAAACACGAGCATATGCCAACATTCCTGCACACATGAACAAAAAAATGGATGGAGAAGCATATTTTTGGAGCACAATGAGACTGTAAGTTCAATAATGTCAAGTAACTAATCAAAAAGCATTTTTGTAACCCCCAGATCCAAAGACAAGGTTATTCTATTTTCCCCTCAAAACTTACAAGGAACGAAGTACCACAAAAGGAAGCATCTTAAACAACTACAATGGCACTACAACATCCTATAAACTAAATAGAAAACTTCTTAGATAGTATTTAGTTATATTACCTGAGCTCCCCACCCAACACCAAAGGAAGAGATGGCAGATGGAGGAGACCAAGATCCATCTTCTCTACGAGTAACAACTAGCCCCGTTCCAATGTTGTAGGTCACCATCACACCAACCTTTGCAACAGTAAGGACAGCAAGGCCCTTTGCTTGTTTTAGAATAGCATCTGGTATGGATTTCTCAGGTTTCAGAGACCCAACCTGACCAATAAAAAACCATCATCCCATGAAAGATTCAAAATTTTAATAGAGTTAAAAATGTTTAGGATCTTCAGTGCATGATTTATATTGTCACATTCTTTCACCATTAGTAATATACACACTAAAAAGGCCAGAGCCACATGTATGGTCAACACAAAAGACCAGAACCATTGCAATTTGCAAGTCCTTCAAGGTACAAATTAACTATTTGAACATACAACCAAGCACCAGGATGAAGCAGCTTTATCCTTATCCAATAACTTATATCAAAAGCTGCTATAAATACTAAGAGAAAAGGCTTCATAAAATTTAACTCAAAATCATAAGAGGTTTCTGAAAAATCAATTCTCTTATAGATGTATAAATCTCTTTAATGTATTGACAGTTGTCAAATAAGGGAAGAAAATGTTATTAAGCTCTGAAAGTACCCAAAGAAATGAATCAGTACCTTATCATAACCCCGAATGGTGTTTGCTGCTTTGTAAATTTCATATTCCATGGACTGGCCCCATGGAAAATTAAGCCATGATCTCAGAGTACTGAGGTCAGTTAGATCATGGGTAGGCAATTGAGCAGCACGACTTACTTTGTCCATCAAATGTGACTGGACAGACTCAAGCCGTACACAGCATACATCGCACACTCGTTGCGGGTTCCCATTGCGGAACTTTACTGGCAACAAACTCCTTCCCTTAGAGCACTCGTTGCAAAATATCCCTCCACAAAAGCGGCAGTGGTGCCTAGAGCACATGATAGGATGGAAGCGGACATTACACAGCATGCAAGCAGCAGCAGCACTGTCAGGCAACCATCTGGGAGGCTCTGCCTCTAGAAGTTCCCTGGTGTTTCCAAAGTTAGCTTCAGTAAGAGTTTGAGCCATTTCTGCCCATGCTTGATCAAGAAGATGATTAGACAGCCAGGATATTCTGCACCTATTGATGTCACCTTTAGCAATGGCACTTGCTTTTCCTCGAGCTACTTCTAACATCTCAGAGACCACATCCCACATGGTCAGCTCCTTATTTTCGCCAATAAACTGATCCCAACCCAGTTCTCCATCAGGGAAGCATCCCCCATCCACACAAAGACCTCTACTCCATTCATCTTGTTCATATCCTGACATGGGAGGAACAGAGACAGGTATCCATGGTCCAGTTTCTTCAGAATGCGGTGTATCACAATAGAAAACTTTACCCTGTTTCTGAGTGTTAACACCTAAAACATTTTGATAACTATTATCTTCCTTCATGCCTTGAGATGCTTCACTTTCAAAATTTCGGGGCTGCATCATTTCTTCTTGCACTAAATCATTTGTTTGTATAAGATTGTTTTCCCTGCCTTTCTCTACATCTCTAGAAACCTACCCAGCACCCAAAAAAATCAGAACAATTTTTAATTTGCTCCATAACTTGTTTCAATACAGGAAAATAATAAGTTATATTAAATAAAAAAACTTAAAATCAAGACTTCTCAAAACAATTATATGAACAAAATGGTCCTGCCAGCAAGGAAAAAACTAACTCCATCCCTGAAAATTAAAGTGCAAATATGTTTCAACAAAATTGTGATGAACATAGTTCGTTTATCCACAATTTCGACAAGCCACCACTACCACACATCTTATATAATCCCTAACTATTCTGACACTTTCGACCTGCGTTTGCTCCATCCTAAACAAGTAAGCATACTATACACTCCTAATTCCTAGTATCATCCCTCATTAAAAAGTGCCCAACTTATCAGCCAATGATCAAAACAATGGCCTTGCACCACGGGAATTGTTAAAAACTCAAGCATTTTGTAAACCAACCAGCATTACCTCCATACTAGTTACATCAAAAACCCCATATCTAAATACACAAAAGTCCCCCATCTACCACTATATATCTTTCAAATAAAGAATCATTTTAATTTCTTTTTACATGTTCATAGTATTATTATCATCATATCTTTCATATAACAATTTAACCTTTCAAATTAAACCTTTCTTTGGCTCTTGATTCAACACAACTACTCCTTCCCACCCTATTGGCTAAAAACCAAACAAAAAAGGAAACGCGTTGAAACCCATGTTTTCTTTTCCTTGTCCTTCGTTTTCTCGGTAACCAAACAGTAAAATAAATACTTTTTTAAAAAGAAAAAGAAAACACCGAACATAACAAGATAACGACGAGAAATTTACCGGCTCAGGGAAGGGTTTTAGCCGATAGTCTTCGACTTTGATTTTAGGATACTGTACGCGTCCGTCCATTGATAAAAACTTCCTGCTTTTCTTTCTTTCTAGGAGAACTTTTAATTAATAGTATTATTTAATAAAAAGTCAAAATGATTATCATTAAAAAACTGTAAAGAGAGAATATGAACACAACGGCAAGTCGTTTTGAGAAGAAATCATCAACAACTTCTCAACGAGACTTCTCAGTGACGACACTACACCGTGAGTTAGGGTCCGATTTTGACGGTGGTTTCGGATTTTTCGTTTGAATTTAATTTCTCTGCATTTTTTCTAAGCTAAACAACCAATGGGAAACCAATTGCTTGATTGCAAAATGTAGAACAAGAATATAGCAGATATAATAACAACAGGGGAACAAGGAGGATATAATTTACACGTGCATCCAAGCCATCTCCACGGCAAGTATCTTGCAAGAAAACAGAGTGCCAATTTTTTTAGCTCAATATGTACCGATCAGTGCCACGCTTATCAAATAAATCCGAGAGAGCAGCGTACAGAATGCCAGCAGCAGGAGGCCTAGGCATCGATCCGAGAAGAATATCTGCGCCACTAATAGATGATTGACCATAGAATCTAGAATTTTCTTGTGCTCGGGTAGCAACAATACTTCCTTCAAGTGAGCAACCAACAAATGCACCTGCAAAGTTAATCAAAAAAATCGATTCACCAATATTGACTCATCTAAGTAGTAATATGTTCATAGGGGAAAAAATTTTTTACCTTTACTGCAGCTGTATGTGTAGCAAGCCGCATAACCTCCTACACCAGCATGAAGATCAGCTTCAGCAGCCCGTCCAACAATGCCAGCAGCAGCACTCAAACCTGCTCCAAGTGAAAAATGTACATTTCCACTAAAAGTTTTGATGGCACTTTTAGTTCTCAATACAATTATGAAATCTGTGAATTCACCTCCAGCCTGTTTGATATTGAATAGAATATATGAGTTTCAAAATGCAAGTCATAGATATATTAAAAAAATCACGAGCTGCTGATAATCTTTCTGATTAAGCATATTACATCTAGTTTCAGAAAGTTAGAAGTATATCCAATTTCAAGCCACACTTTTCAGTTTCAAAAGTTAGCATTTTGACAATGATGTAATGCAAGCATCCAATGCATAGGAAAACAATAATATCATTCATGATCTAACAGTGGAGAAAAAACCAGACAGATTAAAAAAAAAAAAAAAAAAAAAAAAAGTAGTATTTCCAATTTCAAGCATGCAAAAACACGAGCATATGCCAACATTCCTGCACACATGAACAAAAAAATGGATGGAGAAGCATATTTTTGGAGCACAATGAGACTGTAAGTTCAACAATGTCAAGTAACTAATCAAGAAGCATTTTTGTAACCCCCTGATCCAAAGACAAGGTTATTCTATTTTCCCCTCAAAACTTACAATGAACGAAGTAATACAAAAGGAAGCATCTTAAACAACTACAATGGCACTGAAACATCCTATAAACTAAATAGAAAACTTCTTAGATAGTATTTAGTTATATTACCTGAGCTCCCCACCCAACACCAAAGGAAGAGATGGCAGATGGAGGAGACCAAGATCCATCTTCTCTACGAGTAACAACTAGCCCCGTTCCAATGTTGTAGGTCACCATCACACCAACCTTTGCAACAGTAAGGACAGCAAGGCCCTTTGCTTGTTTTAGAATAGCATCTGGTATGGATTTCTCAGGTTTCAGAGACCCAACCTGACCAATAAAAAACCATCATCCCATGAAAGATTCAAAATTTTAATAGAGTTAAAAATGTTTAGGATCTTCAGTGCATGATTTATATTGTCACATTCTTTCACCATTAGTAATATACACACTAAAAAGGCCAGAGCCACATGTATGGTCAACACAAAAGACCAGAACCATTGCAATTTGCAAGTCCTTCAAGGTACAAATTAACTATTTGAACATACAACCAAGCACCAGGATGAAGCAGCTTTATCCTTATCCAATAACTTATATCAAAAGCTGCTATAAATACTAAGAGAAAAGGCTTCATAAAATTTAACTCAAAATCATAAGAGGTTTCTGAAAAATCAATTCTCTTATAGATGTATAAATCTCTTTAATGTATTGACAGTTGTCAAATAAGGGAAGAAAATGTTATTAAGCTCTGAAAGTACCCAAAGAAATGAATCAGTACCTTATCATAACCCCGAATGGTGTTTGCTGCTTTGTAAATTTCATATTCCATGGACTGGCCCCATGGAAAATTAAGCCATGATCTCAGAGTACTGAGGTCAGTTAGATCATGGGTAGGCAATTGAGCAGCACGACTTACTTTGTCCATCAAATGTGACTGGACAGACTCAAGCCGTACACAGCATACATCGCACACTCGTTGCGGGTTCCCATTGCGGAACTTTACTGGCAACAAACTCCTTCCCTTAGAGCACTCATTGCAAAATATCCCTCCACAAAAGCGGCAGTGGTGCCTAGAGCACATGATAGGATGGAAGCGGACATTACACAGCATGCAAGCAGCAGCAGCACTGTCAGGCAACCATTTGGGAGGCTCTGCCTCTAGAAGTTCCCTGGTGTTTCCAAAGTTAGCTTCAGTAAGAGTTTGAGCCATTTCTGCCCAAGCTTGATCAAGAAGATGATTAGACAGCCAGGATATTCTGCACCTATTAATGTCACCTTTAGCAATGGCACTTGCTTTTCCTCGAGCTACTTCTAACATCTCAGAGACCACATCCCACATGGTCAGCTCCTTATTTTCGCCAATAAACTGATCCCAACCCAGTTCTCCATCAGGGAAGCATCCCCCATCCACACAAAGACCTCTACTCCATTCATCTTGTTCATATCCTGACATGGGAGGAACAGAGACAGGTATCCATGGTCCAGTTTCTTCAGAATGCGGTGTATCACAATAGAAAACTTTACCCTGTTTCTGAGTGTTAACACCTAAAACATTTTGATAACTATTATCTTCCTTCATGCCTTGAGATGCTTCACTTTCAAAATTTCGGGGCTGCATCATTTCTTCTTGCACTAAATCATTTGTTTGTATAAGATTGTTTTCCCTGCCTTTCTCTACATCTCTAGAAACCTACCCAGCACCCAAAAAAATCAGAACAATTTTTAATTTGCTCCATAACTTGTTTCAATACAGGAAAATAATAAGTTATATTAAATAAAAAAACTTAAAATCAAGACTTCTCAAAACAATTATATGAACAAAATGGTCCTGCCAGCAAGGAAAAAACTAACTCCATCCCTGAAAATTAAAGTGCAAATATGTTTCAACAAAATTGTGATGAACATAGTTCGTTTATCCACAATTTCGACAAGCCACCACTACCACACATCTTATATAATCCCTAACTATTCTGACACTTTCGACCTGCGTTTGCTCCATCCTAAACAAGTAAGCATACTATACACTCCTAATTCCTAGTATCATCCCTCATTAAAAAGTGCCCAACTTATCAGCCAATGATCAAAACAATGGCCTTGCACCACGGGAATTGTTAAAAACTCAAGCATTTTGTAAACCAACCAGCATTACCTCCATACTAGTTACATCAAAAACCCCATATCTAAATACACAAAAGTCCCCCATCTACCACTATATATCTTTCAAATAAAGAATCATTTTAATTTCTTTTTACATGTTCATAGTATTATTATCATCATATCTTTCATATAACAATTTAACCTTTCAAATTAAACCTTTCTTTGGCTCTTGATTCAACACAACTACTCCTTCCCACCCTATTGGCTAAAAACCAAACAAAAAAGGAAACGCGTTGAAACCCATGTTTTCTTTTCCTTGTCCTTCGTTTTCTCGGTAACCAAACAGTAAAATAAATACTTTTTTAAAAAGAAAAAGAAAACACCGAACATAACAAGATAACGACGAGAAATTTACCGGCTCAGGGAAGGGTTTTAGCCGATAGTCTTCGACTTTGATTTTAGGATACTGTACGCGTCCGTCCATTGATAAAAACTTCCTGCTTTTCTTTCTTTCTAGGAGAACTTTTAATTAATAGTATTATTTAATAAAAAGTCAAAATGATTATCATTAAAAAACTGTAAAGAGAGAATATGAACACAACGGCAAGTCGTTTTGAGAAGAAATCATCAACAACTTCTCAACGAGACTTCTCAGTGACGACACTACACCGTGAGTTAGGGTCCGATTTTGACGGTGGTTTCGGATTTTTCGTTTGAATTAAGATTCTGTTAACGCTCTTGTTGTGTAAACAAATTCCTTTTTCTTTATGTGAAAAACGTAAGGAGAAATATATTAGTATATCCCACCTCAGATTTATGTCTTTTACCCCTATATATAAGGTTAATATCATACACGTTCTATGAGGGTTGTTCTTTTTACTGACGGATAAAGAAAATGATTGGGTTAACAAATACACCCCAAACGTTTCTGATTGTTAGGGCAAAGTTAACCTATTAAGGGTATTAGAGTAATTTTATAGGAAAAATATTTAAAAGAAAAAGAAAGCAAAAAAACTATTCATCCAAATTCAGTTAACTACTTCACTTTCGTTTATACTTCTTAAACCTAAGGGTGTTCAAAAAAATATAAAAACTGAACTGAACCGAATTTTCAGTTATTCGAAAAACCAGTTCGGTTTTTATTCAAAGAAAATAAAAAATTGAATTTTTGGTTCGGTTACCGGTTTGGGAAAATATGAAAACCGGTAATCGGTTTATTATAAAAATATTAAATTAAAATATCTGGTTTATTAAAAAAAATATTAAATATTAAATTAAAACATGTTTTTCGGTTAACCGAAAAACCAGTTTTTCCCTTAACCGGTTTGATTTCGGTTCAGAAAATTCTTGAACCGAAAGTCTGGTTTGGTTTACAAAATTGGTTAACCGGTTTTAAACACCCCTACTTAAACCCATTGAAATACATTCAATGTTGTTTTCATTATTCCCCAAATTTGTTTTACAATAGTAAAATATCAAGATTAACTTAATAAGAAAAGAGAGCTATGAGATGTAGAGGGGTATGCTGGTTATGGAGGTGCTTTTGGTAGTGTCTGTGAACACAAATTCACAGCTAGGAATCATAAAAAAAAAAAATCAATAAAGCAAGTTAGCAGGTTTTGGATTTTCTGAAAGGTGGCTTATGGTGTTTGTAGGGCTGTGCTGAGTGGTGGTGTTTATGGTTGTGCTTAGTGGTGCGGTGAAACCCGACGGTGTAGGTCACAAAGCTCGGCACGTTGCACTGCCAAGTGAGGCACAATGCGACCTGACTTGGGCCACCTGCATGGGCCGACAATGGTCGAATGCCATCATGAGGCAGCCATGCGAAAACTTTTTGCCGCCCCTGTTTGTTTGCCATTTCAGATTTATTGAAAGTGAGAGGACTCACGGGAAGAGGAAGATAGGAGGAAAATAAAAGAAATTTTTAATTTCCAATACATTTAAAGTTTGGAAAAAATAAATTTTTAATCTTATTTGTATCTCAAATTTTTTTTCTCCTTAAATCATTATTTTAATAAACAGAGAATTGAAAATTAATTATTTTTGAAACTTTAAGCATTATAAGGGCAATATTGAATATAGCATATTAAACGTATATTCATTTTTCTGTTAAATATACCCTAACGGGGACTCATGTCAAGGGGTGATATGTTATCTTAGTGATCTTTTTCTATATGCGGAAAGCAACTGAAACCTGAGGGGTAGTCATTGTTATTAACCCTTAATATAAAAACCCATCTCCAACCGCAAATGTTAAATTAGGGCAATTTTCATACCAAATGGATATGGTTTTTGGTGTATTTCAGTATTATATTTCATTATTTGTCCATCTAGCCAGTCTCGTAGCCGACTCTGTCAAAACTCTCAACCTCCGTTTCTAAGGCTTCTCAGGTACAATTCTTTTTTTGTATTTTGGTCCTTTCACATTGAATATTCAATGGGTTAATATTTTGACCTAGAGGTAAAGAAGCTGTTATGGGATTGTTTTTAGTTTTTATGATGTGTTTATTGTCCACCCAAATTTAAAGCTCACCAAGTGTTTGATATAATGTCTCTATGAAAATCACTCAGCCTTGTTAGTACTGTTTGAGGACTATTAATTCCTCTATTCATTGTCGTTTTCATTCTGATATTCTATGTATGAATGGTTGAATTGTTATGGGTTAGGTGTCGTTGACAATGATAATCAAAATCTTCACTGACTTTGCCATTTTTTACCAAAATAGAAGAACTTCAAATTATGAAATTAATTAAATAAATTATAGTTTTAGCTTAAATTTAATTATTCTAAATGGATTCTTATTACTTAGAATTAATTGTTTTAAAATCTTTTCTGGCAATAAGACTTAAATCTACCATGATAGCCCACGTTGTAGAAAATAGTTTCACTAAAAACGATACAATTTAGTGTTTTTGGATATAATTTGGATACAATCGGCTAAAAAATAACTTAAACTAGCTTTCAAGGAGTGCATTACCACATTGAGCTGTTTTTGTCAACTTCAATTACACTGCTTTTGTCTAATTGATGTTTTCACTATTTCATGGTTAGATTAGTCTACTGATACAAGGTTAATTTTTGAATTGTACCAAATATGTGTATTTAATTGTTATTTGCTTCTATTCAGGAATTGGTTCCATACAAAGTGATAATGTCAGAAAATCACTCAACGGAATGCAAAGATGGTAGTGTAGAAGTCAAAGTGTCGGAACATTGCAAAATAAAAACTGAAGATGTTACTGAAGAAGTCAAAATTTCAGAAGATTACATTGTGGATAGCGAAAATGATGCTGAAAAAGAAACCAAGACTCGCAAAAGGAGGTTAAGTACAATTACGGAGGAGGGTCATATTCAGAATCCTGAAAAACGTTATAAAAAAATGATATTGTCCTTGAAAAAGCCGTCATACCTTCTAAGGTGTGGCCTTGGTGCAAAGAATGTGCGACGGGAAAATCGCAATAGGTTGCGTTATCTGTTGTGCAAGCTTGTGAAACTGGGCAATTGGACTCATGCGTGTGGAGTGCTCAGTGTGTTGTTGAAAGGGACAAGCAAAGAAAAATGTCCTCTGGCGAATCGTCTCAAGTATATGGTATAATATTGATCCCAATTTTTCATGACCTTATGTTTTCTATCTATATAAAATTCTTTATCTTATATCTTGCCATGACATACTAGTATTTGTCATGCAATTCAACTTTGCACAAAATATATCTTTGGATTGTCTTCATAATTTGATACTTTGAGGTTTTGTTAAGCCACTTTTTGCGAAAACATTATTCTGTGGCTGTTAAACTTTTTCCTTTATATTTGGATTCTGGATATAAAAATTTGTTAATACATGTAATAATATAATTTCAGGTTTCAATGGAGCTGTTTAATCATGTTGAAAGTGAACGCATAAACCCAATAAGGATCAAGAATGTCTATGACATTTGGATGAAAAGAATCGCCTCCGCTAAAGATTCACCATTGGAGGTATATTTTTTACAAATTTTCTTGAATAGGACATATTTAGTTTATGAAGCATAAGTTGGTTAATCCTGATTATAGTGTTTGGTGATTCATCTTCAAATTTTTTTTTTTTTTCTTTTCCTTTTAAATTTTTTTATATATAGCAGATGTAGTTAAATTATGGACTGTTTTTGTTGCAATGTCTATTTATTGGAATCACTCTGTGCTCTAGCTTTCATCTATTTGTGAAGTAACTTGCATACTAATGCTTCTGTTCTTTTTGGTTTTGTTTCGAATGTTAGTTACCTTTTGCAAAATAAAAAATTATGAAAGAAGGAAGAAAGTCTAATTTAACAAAAATGAAGAGAAGGGAAGTGGATTTTTTTACTAACACTATCATCTTATTGCACATACATGTATACCCTGTAATATCTTTGAATACATGGCATCGTTTTAACTAATTGTTTTGCTATATCAATGTACATTATCAAATTAATTACATAGAGAATATGCATAGTCAACTAATTCCAAAGCTGGTATAATTTTTTTCTTCTCGACTTAAAACCTTAGAAAGTGCTAGGAGGGTTCTGTTCGTGAGATATTCATATATGCACTGACCTTACTTTATTATTTTATATTAACTTGGTAAACAGGATAAATTTGTGGTTCATTTGGAGTTCATCCTTTTCTGTCTTACACGAGGTGATGTTGATGAAGCACATCAGGCTTCTATGGGGTATGGTTTGAACTTTCCTCTGGACAGAAAATTCCAGGATCTAGAAACAATTGGGATGATATAACAAGCCATTCTTGGGGAATTCTTATACTATCTATGTGTTCATTTGTTGTAGAATGTTGCACAAGGTTTTCTTTATATTCTGAAAGTAAAAAGTCCTAGTTTCAATCTTATTATTTGGTGATATCTTGTCAGCAAGGTCTTAAATTTTTTATAGTGTTAAAGATTAAAGTACATGGTTTTTGAGTGATCTTCCTTGATGATTTCATAACCTCTGTATATATACATCATAGCTTCTGTTTAACTATGTTATAGAATTTCAGTTATTAAAATCACTATGTTGGTTGGGAAAATTATCTTTCCCCATTCTTTGTGTTTTTAGTGCATATTTTGACACATTTTATTTGTGTGCATGATAGCATATGAAGGGCTATATCTAATTACATTCTCGTATTTCTTTTCTCAGCCTCATGCAAGAGCGGGAATTTGGAAGCCAACCAATGGCAAACATGGTCATGGCATTGACATTCTGTCAACGCTGGTATTCCAGTATCCCTAGAGATATGCAATGGGATGATTCTGATCAGATGCATTCCCCTGGACAACCTGATTTTTCAGGATCAAGATTAAACCACGAAGTTGAAAACTCGGGAGCTCCAGATACAGTTTATAGTTACAAGGCTGATACTCACTTCAGATGTGATTCAGAAACCTCTGTCATGATTGGTAAAAAAATGTCTCTGGAGAATGATAGTGAGGTGCACAGAGAGGTTCCTGTAGAGGACAATGTTAGTTTGCAGAGAGGAAATCTCTCACAACCCATTCAGCCACAAGCATTTTTTATCAACTCTACTGAAACTGAAGACTCTTCCCCGATGAAAGATGCTGTTCCTGTGAACTATGTTTCAGTTTTTGTTGCTCTTGGTGAGTTACAAACTATCTTCATGTTTTTTTCATTTTCTAGCAAATCTATTTGGTGTTGACTTTGTTTGACATATCAGATTTCCGGTTTAACTGATAATGCATATACACTGTTGTATTCTGGCCATTACTTAGAATAATGTGGCAGAGTCTGAAGGTACTGAAGTAATCATAATGCCTGCTTATTAAGGTAGTGTAGCTAGAGAGAATTGGTGGGATCAGGGGAGTAATAATATAACATTTCAACTAGTATTGATTGACATTTCATGGTAAGTTATACGCAAAAAACATGATTAGGCATCATCCAGAATAATTTCTTTTGATGATTATTTGCTGATGAAACTTTATCTCATCGTTTGACTTAGTATATTATCAGACTGTCAATTATTTCACAATCTTGGCAACATCAAAATGATGGTTACTTGATATGCGCAAGTATCTAATTGGAGTCTATATTGTGATTATCATCCTGTATGCATTGTATCTTTTAGTCATTTTATGTCTTCAGGCACATCCATGCAATTAATAGAAGCTTTCCTTTTTCTTCTGAAGTTGATAAGGCATTTTAAACCTCAGAAAGTATGATAAGCTTTCCAATAAGTACTAACTGGTGCTTTTTGCTCATGTTTGTTGTGCTGAAGAGGGTTTAGATTCATGGTTATTGCCTGTACGATTACCGAACTCCAGTGAGGATTATGAGATTGCCATCAGAAAGTATAGAAAATTGCTTAATGATGACTACAAGAATGCAATTAAGTACCTGCGGTTTGCTCTTTACTCAACACCTGCAGTATCAGCCGCCTTACTTCCTCTCATACAGGTAAATTGGCCATGAAATCCCTGTTTAAACTTTGCAGAATTGAAGTCATAAATTTACTATATTGTACAATTTTAAAGGATTATAAACCTGTTAAAGCAGTTATTTCTTAGAAATAGAGTCTAAGAAGTAAATTAGGTACCTTATATTTTTTTAAAGATAAATATTAACTTTTTTAACCTTAAGGTGAGTTTCAAGACTTAGGATTGTGTGGTAACAAAAGTACTTGGTTTTTAATTGAGATGAAGAAGATAAGCATAGAAATGATATTAATTAGGGGCAATTCTTTCTATTAAATTTGATCTTTATAATTTGTGGTGTAGTATTATTGGGGGGTTATTATCTGGTGATGGTAAATCTCTCAGGCTGCCAAGCTCAAGAGTAGAAGAGATTTGAGCCTCGACTGTTGCTTTTCATGCAAAAAGAATGTCCAGGGTTTGGAACATATCCAGATTATTTTTTCTAAGATAATGCTTTGACGCACTGAATGAAATGATATCAGGAACTTATCATCAACTGATTTCAGTGAATTCTTTTATTTCTGTAGCATTCAAAACTGTATGCTGTGTTAACTTAATTCTATTTTGTTTCAGTTGTTGCTGATTGGAGGGCATGTTGATGAGGCCTTGATTGAGCTTGAAAAGTTCTGTAGTAATTCACCGACAGCACTTCCTGTTAGGTACATTTCATGGCTAAGTTTTTTTGCTGTTACATGCCCCCAAGGACGAGGGGAAACAGAAAATTTGTATGTATATTGGATGAATGGAAATTAAAAATTCATGCTGATGGGATGCCACATTAAGGCTCCCTCAAGTTTGCCAACCATAGAATAGCTTTGTTATTTAGTAATCAAGTCATTTGTCTTCTACTTTGTTCTTAGAACATCCAATTGTTCGTCTTTCATTCTGTATAAAAATGTTAGGTTGCCTTATATATTACAGGAATTGGACCTTAGTTCTTCAAAAGTTTCATTGTTTATGTTTTATCGCCAATAAGATGATGACTGATATTTTCTTATAACAAAATGTTATTATTTTTGGAAGATGTGTTTTTCTGCTTTCCTGAAAAAGTTGGATATCAAATTTTCATTGATCATATGTTAATAAAAGCTAAGAACAAACTGAGTTCTTCTGAAGACGAGTTACTGCATTCTTAGAAAAGACTCAGCATGGTTGTGAACAGTTTTTCATGCCAACTAAAAATTTGTTTGCGGGGTATTGGTGGAATTTTAACCTGAAAGATACCAAGTTATCCAAGATTGTTGTTCCTTTTTACATATTTGTTCCAGATTTGTTAAATAATCGTGTCTCTGCATAATGTTTCCAAGTTTATGTTTTCTTTTACTCCTGTATCTGGGAGCGGAAGGTCTTGTTATAACTGGAAAAATGCACTTACATATACTTTGTGCAGATTGAGGGCTAGTATTTTGGAGTGTTTCGATCGTAACAACTATATCATGCTTTCAACCTGTTTTGAGGATATCTTGAGGAAGGATCCAACATGTAGTCACTCATTGGCAAGACTTATCAGGATGCATCAAACTGGTAGGTATCTAGAGACTTTATCTTGCCTTGCATAGGTTTAGATTTCAAATCATAATTCATCGTTTGAAGTATACACTCTTTACTAGTAATTATGTTGCCTTTCAGTTGTAGCTCTTAAGGTATACAATGGCTACTAAATATCCTTCCACCCTGTCACTCTTGAATTTTATCTAATCAATCAACTGCAGTGGTAGACTAAAAATCAAGTTTGGATTGAAATATCCAATGTACAAAGGTTATGTCATCTAATATGACCATTCAATCTAACAAAATCTCTTTGGCATTATGTTTAAAGTTGCATCACGATGCATTCAAATTAATCATGTGTACAAGTATTCATCTTCTATTATTGTTTTTTCCTTTCCAAATCTGTTTGGATCATGACTGATTTTTTTTTTCTCTTAATTTCATCGTATTTATGCATAATTAGTAAGCAAGTGCTATTCCCAAACATAAAATTAATGTAACAGCAAAGGTAAAATGTTTCCTTTCAATTTATATTTTTCAGGGAACTACTCTGTGGAATCACTTTTGGAAATGATAGCTTTGCACTTAGATGCTACATATGCAGATAGCAATATATGGAGAGAGTTTGCTTCATGCTTCCTTAAGCTTTCTCAGTATGATGAGGATCGAATGTCAGTATGTCCTGATGCGAATGAAGGGGGGAAAAAGCAAAGCTTCTCAGTTCGTTATAGTAGGGTTCCAGATATATTGACTAAGGGTAAATCAGGAAAAGCTTGGATGTTCCGCTGCAAATGGTGGTTGTGCCGTCACTTCAGCCAGAACATGCTTACATCAGAAATCGCTGCAGGTAACTTTTGCTACGTCACTACGGTACAACATTTATCTTAAATTTCCTGGTGTTTATTATCAAATCAGTCTTAATATCAGCACCTTAATAAGTTATTGAGCTTTTGAGTTTAATTGACAACTTTTCCCCCTTTTCTTCTTTCAGCATGTTCTTTACTTACATCATCTCTCTGGTATTCTGCAACAGGTGATTTGCAGTTGCTTACTTACAAAGCTTCATGTGCTAGCCATATGTATGGACAAAAGTTGAATTATGTTGTGAAGGTATACGCATATTTAGAGAAGGCAAATGATAGAGATTTGTTCATGTTCTTGCAAACGCACATCCATAATGCCATCAGCCTTACTTCAAATTATAAATAAATCAATTCTCTTTTATTAACTAACCCTTGCTTCCTTACAAAATTTTCCATTGAAACACACCGTGGCACCATCAAACCTTGTAAATTGAGAATTGATTTGATAAAAGAGCCTAAATTGTTGAGATAATTTTATTATATCGGTGTTAAAATCAGAGCTGGTTTAATCTGGGTCATGATATCAGATTGATATTACAACATCTCTAATATTATTGTGTCAAATCGTGTGAGGATCATACAATTTTAATGCATCTACAAGATTTCCCATCAACTTTGATTATTTGGAATTGTATAAGTTTATTGAATGCATAATTCAGTTACGGGTTAGTTTATTCACTCCTAAGAGATAGCTAGTTTTAACGATCTCGAAAGGTATTAGATCAAAAAAGGAGCCCCTTATAAATATTACAGTTTCATTGATTCAGGATGTTTTTAATACTTTTTAAAATCGTTGTAGCGTTTGAGATTTAACTATTTTACATTACAGTTTCATTGATCCGGGATGTTTTTAACACTTTCTAAAAATCGTTGTAGCGTTTGAGATTTAACTATTTTACATGGACAAAAAAGATAAACCCTTAAATAAGAACTATGTATTTATTTGAACGTTAAATTTAAAGAAAATGAAGTGGAATGAGAAGAAAAGGAAATGAATGAATAAGGTAAATTACTAATATTTTGATAAATCCATCCAAAATTATTAAGGAGGAGTTAGGTTCACAAGTTGTTTTCATAATCTAGTGTTCACTTCCCCAGGTTTTGTTTGGATGTAATTCTAGAAGAATCCCATATGGGAAAATATATAACTGAGGGACCATTTATCTGTAAAACAATTGACATCAATCCCTTTCTTCCCTATTCCCACAACATTTTGTTGCTTTCTTCAACAACATTACTTACAATCAGATCCAAACAATACCAAGATAATACTCTTTCATATCTAATTCGGCTGTCTCATTTGTTTCAATACATTTCACTAATTTTTAAACATAATTCATTACTTAATCTTTATTTCTCATTAGTTTAAGCTTGGGTTATATTATAGTACATGGTAACAATACCCTTTCTTGCGACCCTTTGACATCTTTTTCGATATTTAATAAGAACATTCAATGGTAGCAATGGAGTAATATTACACAATAATTCATCAATTTACCTTACATCTATTAGTAATCCGATATAAATAATAAGTTAAAAAAATTATAAATGTTATTATGCTGTATCCAGTCACATGATGAGTAGATTCTTAAAGATATTATTTACTTTAAGTCCAGAAACTGGACTGCTGATAAGACCACACGATTTTGTCATAAAAATGTGCCTTTGGGTTTTTGAGATTGCCTTTGTACTATATAAACTACAAAACTCGCGTCCTCTAACTGATATTAGAGTTTGACATCAATAATAAAGTTATTGTAATCTAACCCATAAAATTTTACACTATATAGATATGGATTTAACTTAAATGATAAAATTAGAAGAAAAATTAATATTATCTTCTCTCATCAATTATTTATGATGAGCAAAAATTGGTTCCAAAGTCAATTCATGTAGAGCTAAGAGTACCAAAACTCAACATCATAAAAATATTTTATTATTTTTATATGTTCGTGAATGTCACGTTTTAGTCTTACTATTAAAAATAATTTATTACCTTTTTTTGAAACTTTTAGGAATCATGTAGTTTTGGACTTACATGTTGTATTAATTTTATTGAATAAGTTGACCAAAATTATCGACCACGTGTAACTCACCCATTCCCTGAAAATTAATATCTTTATATTAATTAATAAATGCCTCTTTTTTGCTTTTTAGAGAAAAAAAAAAAAAAAATATATATATATATATATATAATTTTTAGTCAATAAAATCTCCATCCTCATCCACACGCAATGCCATCATCAACGTGGCACTAATTGAATCTGTGTGCGCTGTACGCACCCTGTGCATTTCAGACATTCTTTCTCAAGTAAAAAAAAATTGTCTTCTTTTCTAACCAATTTTCTACTTACCTCAAAAATTTCTATCTGATTTTCTCACACTTTCTTAATAAAAAAACCCTAGTTTCACCGCTTATATATAAATCTTTTCTACCCCTTTTCTGATTCGCACAGAATTGAATTTTCAATTTATTGATTGTTCAGCTGCAGTTAGTTTACAAAATTTCAAACCCTGATTTCTAAATTCAAATGAAAGAGCTGTAAATCTCAAAATTATCGGTTCAATGTCAGTAGAGAGGTCGTTTGAAGCATGGGAGGAGGTCCAGCGCCACGGTCAAGACCTGGCGGACCGGTTGGCTCAAGGTTTCACTGGTCTAATTCAATCTCACATGACGAATCCGCCGTCGTTTTCGTGGCCAAACCCGACAAAATCGAAACATTTCGATTTAGAGTTCCCGATTGCGAGTTCCACCAAAAGGGATTTCGCTATTTCGGTCGGCAAACCCGAGATTAACGGCGTTTCGGCGATTTTTGATATTGGTAACAGGATTGGGCAGGCTGGGGCTGACTTCGGGGCCTGTTTGAATGGATTGGTTCATCAATTTTACAGACAGTTGCCTGTGCCTTTTAAGCATGAAGAGAGTGGGATTAGACTGGAGTTGAATGGGATTGATAGTGGTTTGAAGAGAAATGATGTGGGGTTGAGTGTTGGGGAGAGTTTTGGTGTTAGAGAAAGAGAAAGAGAGAGATTGAGGGGTGTTGGGGCTGTTGAGAATGATGGTGGTAATGATTTGGATGAAGAAATGGGTGGGCTTGATTTGCGGTCAGCCGCGCATCTCGGTAGGCCACAGGTAGTTGTTTATCTGAAGCCAATTTAGGTAATATTAGGGAGATTTATAGGGTGAGTTTTTTTATTGTATTGGATTATGTGTATGTAGTTGATATGCTTTTGATATGTACTTGTGTTATTTCATCTTGCTAGACCGTTTTGTTAAACCAAATCCACCAAGGTCTTATATATCCCCAAGAGATCCAACTGACTAAACTAGCTAGACCTACATGAACCGTGGTTGTATATCAGTGCTTGTTAGATATACTGGTATTCATTATGTTTGTTATGGAATAGGAATAAGTACTTTTGCAAAGTGTGTAGGCGTCTAGGGTGGATAAGAGTCCCTCACTAAGAAGCTATTGCATTAGATAATGGAATCAATGGATTTGTTTGTGGAGCTTCTTCGCTTCCCGGGCAGATTCTCTATTGCCTTTTTCACTATCATTATAACTATCTTGGGTTTCATAAAGGAAAATCGCTAGCTTTGTACTTATTCAGCTGTTTGTGGTTCTTGCATAATTCTTGTGTAATAATCATTGGTTACAAACAAGTGTTTCATTAACAAGTTTAGCGTTAAGTATGAAATTTACTGTTATAAATGGCGGACCTAATAAAGGAAGATGTTCTCTGTAATACAGGGGATCATAAATATTTCGTCAACTTATGACAGTCAAACACACGGCTTGGAAAGTTCTCTCGTTGCAAGGGGAGATTTATGGAGAATAGAGGCATCAAATGACAGTTCCACATCAGGGAACGACAATTCATCTCTTTTCCTTGTTCAGCTTGGACCAGTACTCTTTGTTCGTGATTCAACGCTTCTTTTGCCTGTTCATTTGTCAAAGCAACACTTGCTTTGGTATGGATATGACAGGAAGGTATGCTATTTTTTAGTGATCTATTTGGAGAGCATTGTAAAATTGTAATTAGTGGTGAGAGTCATGACAATGCTAAAGCTTTTAGATTCATTGTCCTAATGACCTAAAATTATTTAAAAAATTTCACACAGCCACCAAAATCAATGCTGCTTGGTAGCAAAACAAATTAGGATAGTGATTAGGGTGATTTTATTTTCTGATGTTGGTTATCTGTGTAGAGATTCTAATGCATAACTTTTCTTTCCCTTAAAATTGTATTTGAGAATTTGGACATGGTGATACATTTGTTTTTATAAATCATGAGAGTATTTTCTAGTTGCTTTAATATTAATATATTGGCTTCTAGTGCCATTGACAATAATTGGTTGTGTTACCTTTTTCCTTCCCTTATCTAATAGTCATACTGGCAATTTGTTTTCATTACTTTATGATGCTAATGCAACTGGGTTTCCATGGCCTTTTACCTAGATGTTTCTACTGTGTTATATCTAGATTGTCTTATGTTTTAATTTTTTTTGCTTTTCAGAATGGAATGCATTCTCTTTGTCCAGCTGTGTGGTCAAAGCATAGAAGGTGGCTGTTGATGTCCATGTTCTGTCTAAATCCTTTTGCTTGTGTAAGTTCATGTCCTCTGTCTGATGTAAATATTGTAATTGATATGTTCACTATTAATTTACCAACATTGAGTTTTTGTTGCTAAGAACTAAATCTTTTTCTTGCTTGATAGGAATACGATTGCCCTAGTAATATGATTAACCGGTCATCATTTGCTTGTTTAGTTGTTCTTATCTACATTGACAGAAGTTGATTGGCATGATAGGAAAGCAGGATCACCAACAGTTTCAATCATTTGGACACCCTTTGTTCCCTCCAAAATTTCTATTAAATTGGCAAATGCTTTTGTTTGGAGATTTCATTTTCATTTGTTCAGTGGTGCTTTTTGTATTTTACTTCATAGTGCTTTTTTAGTCTTGATAATATCTGAATTGCTTTACCTCAGCTTGATTTCATACAAGTGACTTGAAAATCCTCCAAATAAGGTGTCAGCAACTTCAACCTCGTTTCCTGATGATACACAGAACTTTTATTTGCAAAATGATGATGAGACTAGTTGAGTACCTTCTTGGTATTGTTAGAAGTCCTGGAGCATCTAGGTTGGGTTTGATGTCGAATCCAGCCTTTTAATAAAATGAGGAATGAAAAATGAAATTAAAAAAAGGAGATATCTCTTTTTCTGCTTTGTTATTGCAGGACCAACAATGGTTTGTGCTTTTTAATGCTATTGAGATTTGTTGTGTGAATGAACGAGCTCTCATCGTTTTGACTATTGATCTCTATTTGAAGGGCACTGCACATTTTAGTAATCCTATAATAGAACAGATGAAGTAACTGGTTCATTTGAAACGTGATGAATTGCTGCTGGAATTATTATTATTATTATTATTTCTGTATTCTGAAGGGAAGATTCTAATTTTCTTCTCTCTCCATGCAGTCGTTTGTGGATTTGCAGTTTCCTAATGGACAGTTAACTTATGTATCC